GATGCAGGTGGCAGAAAGCAGGTAAAACCAATGAACATGAGACATATGTCTCACCTCCAAGAAGCTCAGTCACAAATCTGTAGTAGACAGCTCAAGAAAGTAATTATTAATCTACACAATGACTGTTAACTATGGATCTTTTTGAAGAAACAGTAACAATAAGTTAAAAAAAATAGTTTTATTTACCTGCATGGCTCAAGGACAGTCACCAGCTTTTGGAGGTTTATCAGCTCTGATGGAGTTAAAATCACTAGCTTGTGCTTTTGGTAAATGGTAAATGGCCTGTATTTGTATAGCGCTGTTTTTGCTGCTTATTTGTCCAAAGCAGCAAAAACATCATGTATGAGTGTCTCTTTCTGTTGCCCCAGTCTTGTTTGCGTCTGGTGTAGTTCCTCCACATTAGCAGGGCTGTCTGTAATGCATCTAATTTTGTTTGCTTTTCAGTGTCATGAAGCTGTTGAATTTTACTTGAAATAGTCTTCAAGTAAAAGTAGCTGGAAAGTTAGATCACCTGATGCTAACTGTAGCACATTTTCTAACCCCTTATCTTCTACCACTGATCATGGTCTACAGTCCAGAGCAATCCATTTTGCGAGAGAACTTGTAAGTTTGTCCGATGTTGACTTACATTTTTTTCCTGAAGCCAGTCATTTCATCAAGTTTAGGCTGTCAACACAACAGTTTCTGTGCTCGCTGCAACATATTTTGCATTTAGATGGTACTGTAAGGTTGAAGTGCTTCAGTGGTATCCAAACTCCTTTTTGCACAGTTTGCACAAAACCACACTTTTTTCAAGGCTTCCGTCAGGTAGTCTTTTGAAATGAAATTTGCCTCCGATCAGTCCTAGCAACACGCTTTCTTCTGATTCTTTGTAGCTCTGATGTGTGCATCAGTGTAATTGTTATACCAGAAAATCCAACATTGATAAAAGTTCCCCTTTGCTTGGAATGCAAAGTGTGATTAAATGCGTTTTTCCCCCTTTTTTTCTAATTAATCGCAATTATCTCGTTAAATTGCTACCCCCAATAATTATCCAATTTTGGGCCTAATGCCTTAAATTAAAGGTAATTAAAACTAAAGTCTTTATTTCAATCACAGTTTTTTGTTTGATTTAAAATCCACTGTGGTGATGTACAGAGCCAAAGCTACAAATATTGTGTCATTGTGAATGTTTGTGAAAACCTTCTTGCTACAAGTTTTTGATGTACAATATTAATCTCCTTTGATTACACAAGACACAAATTTCTCTTTCTACTTCTTTCAGATGATGCTGAAGAGCTGTTGTCTGATGTTGTCTACTCAGATGTTAGACTGAAGCTGGATGGAAGAGAAACAAGAGAAACACCACCTATTTCAAATCAAGATGAAAGTTAATGTTGACTTTTGGTCAAGTAGCTAATAAAACTATGCCAGTTTAGCAGTTCCAGCTGTGCAGTTAATGTAAAGGTAAACATATTTTACAAGTACTCACTGGATTACTTTAATTTTGAAGAAAACATAAAGGGATAAAAAAGGAATTTGGAAGGCATTTAATATAATGAGATATTAAATTAACTTAATACTTAATATTCGAACTACATTTTATTTGACATAATTTAAATAAACTACATCAGCCTTGTAAAAGTTCCAACCAACATTTTACATTTAACCTTGGAGACTGAATAAAAGGCTTTGGTCAGTGATGGTGCTTTCCTTGTGTTCTGTTTAGCAGACGTGGGCTGTGCCTTTTGTTTGAGATAAAAACACAGTGAAGCATCGTGGTTACTTTTTTCTGTGTTGTCATGACATTAAAACCACAAACTATATCCTGTATTCACTGAGCTGCTAAACCTCTAAACCATGTGACATTACCTAAGCTGCACAGACGTCATCGAGAAAGGAAAACTGTATTATGCATAAAACACTGGCTTGTTTGTTCTCAGCTGTTGATCATAGTAGAGACTTAAGAGATCTAAGATCATGAAAAGGTTTTAATTTTTTTGAAGACATTTTACCTCTCATCAGGTGGAAAGT